CTTCCCGCCGGGCGCGGGCCGGGCCCGGCGTGCATTGTCCCCGCACATGGCAGCGGGGCCGCGCCGGGCCGGGCGGGGCTGCTCGGGCGGGGGGCAGCGGCAGAAAGCGGCCGAGGCCCCCGTGCCTCTCTCGGCGGTAACAAATTGCCTCCATTGTCTCCGTGCTCAGCCGGGAAAAGGGTGATCCGCGGAGGGGGTTTAAAACCGCCCTTGTGCAGGCCCTCGGTGGCTCCGGCTGGACGCAGCTCTGCCTGGGACCATTTAAGCGACATCAGTCTTTGGGTGTTGAAAGCACTAATTTGTCAGCGGGGAAGGAGGCAGCGAGAGCCCCATCGCTCCGCAAGCCGTGCAGCCTGTAAGAGTGGCCTGGGCTGAGTTCACAATCAAATCTGATGGCCTGGGCTGAGCTGAGAATGGGATCTGGCAGCCTGGCGGTGTTTGGTGTTCCAGATCCCGTGGGCTCCGGGTTCAGCAGGGCTGGCGGGGTGGGCGTGCTCCCTGGGTGTATAGACACGTGTCCCAGGGACGGGGGCAGACGGGGCTCCCAGCCCGGGTGTGTCATCCCTTGCACTGCACTCACCTGCCAGACTCGGATGTAAAATCCCAGCAGCTCCCGGTTCCAGGCACTTACAGGTTTGGAAAAAGATTATATTTTAATTCTGCTTAACCTCACCTGGTAGATGAAAACTTCATGATGAAACACAGCCACGGGGCTTGTAGACATTTGCAGAACAGAAGTGTTTTAGTGTTTGACCCAGAGAAAAGAGGATGTCTTGATGGAGGAGGTGAAGGATAAGCCTGCGTGGCAGCTCTTGTGGTGCCTTTAGTTGGCTTTTTCCACAAACGTTTTTCCTTGTTGCTCTTAAGCAGACTTTGGGCCTGACAATACTCATGCAATGCAACAGATGTTCAGCAGAGCTTAGATAAAGGTGGGCCAAGTGTTCTGCTGGCAGTGGAGAAAATTTAAAAAACTAAAGGAAAAGCTTCTCAGAAAATTAAAAAGTGATTCTGGCATGTTATTTAATAAGTGATTGGCAAATAAATATTAGGTACCTTTGCAATAGATAGCTCTGAAATTACTCAATGGCTAATTGAGAGTTGTATGAAGTAATTGCTTGTCTTTTCCATGTACTCTGTTAACAGAGTATGTTAGTGTTGGTTATTTAAATCAAAAATGCAAAAAATATGATGGCCTATAAAGACAGTAATATCTATGAAATCTTAAGCTGGCCCCAAAATGCATTTTTTGGTGTGTTTAATGGATTTCAATATTTATATCTAGTAACTTGCTTGAAATCTATCTTAGTTCTTTTCTGCAGGTATTGAGTTGCTGAAGGTGCAGGAAGTTAACGTTCTCTGCCGGTTGGGTCTTCAGCAAGTGGCAAACTCTTGCAGGAAGGATCGTGCTCGCTGGCCACTGGCTTTTGTTCTCACTTTGGAATCAAAACCCCACAGTCCATCGTGTACTACACAAGTGCTAAATTGGCATAAAATCTGAATAGTTGTGCCCCTTTAAAAACACCAGATATTACTGAACCACTGTGTAAAAATTCTTTGTTGTGGGAAGTGGAGCATCACTAATCTTTCACAGATATTTTGTGATAAAAATATGTGCTAACCCAGAAGTCTGCAAGCACTTACACATAGATTCAGCTTCATTCATATGCATGGTCTTGGTTTTACTTAGGTTTATTGGAGTCAGCTATGCATTTTCTTGCAGGATGCTGGTCTGAATTTGTTGAATGTTAGGGCAATTCTGTTACCAGTTAATACCTAATTACAGTTCTGAGGGTCTCATTCTCTGTAAGGATGAGATCACAGCAGCAGTGAACACTGTTCTCGTACCTGGCCAAGCTGCACAGGTGTTTTTGTAGCTTAGTAGTTGTCCTTGGTTGACCTTTCAGTTTACTTTAATTTGTCAGAAGTGCCTCTGTTGAGCTGATGAGACTGGCTTTCAGCAGAGTGGTCATTTTACCTTAGCAGAAAAGAATGTGCATCAGTCAGTAATTGATATTCCTGATTAGTGCAAGAGATATCTAAGTAGGTAAGAGTTAACCAAGTATTTGGATCTCTCTTCACCATATCCTATCAGTCAACAAAGTTCTCCTGGAGAAGGGGTCTGGAGAGTATGATTCTTGATTTGTCCAGGCTCTGTTATTTTTCCTTTGACCTTGGCTATGTCGTGAATTATTCTATGCTTTATTTCTCCTTTCACTAAGTTTTATCAGGTTGTATTGCCTGCCCGTAAAAGGCTGTGAGAACTTTCAGAGTTGAGATCATGTTAAAAAGCAAGTATTTTGGTCTCCTTGTCTTTACTTTTCTCACTGTGAAAAGAAGTTATGGGGAATGAGATCACTGGCTCTTGCATCTCAGCCTTTTTAGCTGATGGGGTACCCTGGGGTGTTCACCCATCTCTGTCCCTGTCTCACAGGAAAAAGCTGTGTTTTACCTGAACTTAGAACCAGACTCTTCAATTAAGCTACTGGAAAGCAGCAGGAAGGCATTGCTGCCTTTTGAAATAGTCTTTGTGCTTCATGTATAAAGAGTTTCTCAGAAATTGTGATGAAAATAGTTATTTTTAACTATGCACCTATGGAATGACACTCTGAAAACAATACAGAGCGTTGTTTCATCTTCTAATATCAACGTATTTATAAAGGTGCAGTTGCTAGATAATACTTTCCTTGCAGGTTTGTTCTTTGTAATTCCAGGGAATTTGTAACTTCATTGTGATATGTCTTGTAAGTCTCTAAGATTCACCTCTGTGTGTGAGCTACTAAGACTTCTTTTTAGACTAACAACCCAGTTTTTGTGTCTGACAATGTTTAGGGGGAAAAAAGGTGCAATCCCCTATAACTCATAATTTTTTGTAAGTCAGAGCTCAACAGAGTTTGCTTAGGAAGACATCCTGACTTTCAGAAGTTACATTTAAGGTTTTTTGTGTTCTAATGTGAGTGACAGGGAAAGGATAAAGAGGAATTCCTGTTGGCTGGCCACCATCACCATTGATTTAACAGTGCAGTAGGGCCTGGTTCAGTCCTTTCACTGCCTCCTTAATTGCTACAAATGTCAGAAGGATGGAGTGGTTACATGAAATGATTGGACTCTTAGCTGCGGAGAGTTTAGGAGTGGAAGGTTGTCAAAGGATAAGAAGCAAGCTTCTTACATGGAGTCTTTCAGACAGGATTTTTCAAATGCTGGAATGCTATAGATTGGGCAAGGTGTTTATGTGTTACCTCTAGATTGAAATTTTTTAAAACTTTTTCTGACATGGTTTGCATGTGTAACATCTACAGCTCTGTATTGTAGTGTAAGAAAAAGAACAGAGCATGAGTTTCTTGGCTTTGATTATCAGATCATGGGGTTTCTTTTGAACTTGTTGGTGTGACATTTTACCCGAAGTACTTCTGTACTTTCACTTCCCTCATCTCCCATCTGTATATTCTGGTGCGTGCTAGATGAGGAGAGCTTTGGGTGTTTTCAGCTGCATGTGCCAAGGCTGGTCCAACACCAGGAATCCCCTTGGGGGCAGTAAGGAACCGAGGGTGCCTTGGCTCCACTGGGAAGAAGTTTCCCAGCAGGAGATAAAATCCGAGCAGAAAGGGCCACTTGTCACTTTCTCATGATTTAGCAAATAGTTCCTGTGTGTGCCTGGCAAGCCTGTGCTAGGAGCACATTGCTTTTTCCTCAGTCAGTGGAGCAAAGAGTCCTGCAAACTTGCAGACAGTGATGAAAGGAGCAGACAGGGATGTTTGCAGGAACTGTAAGTGTGTGTGTATCTTTTGTGGACGTTAAACTAGGTTTGCATATACATTGTAGCTGCATAAGAGGTGGCAGAACTGGCTTGCAAAAAAAAAAACCTGAGGTCAGAACGACTTCCACACCTGCTGAGTTCTTAAAAAAGAATTAAAAGAGTGCTACAGGGCAGTTTGCTGATTCAGCGTGGCCTTACATCTCCTGACCTTACCTTTCTATAAGAAAACAGTTTCATCTCAGTGCAAGAGTTACATGCACCCAGTCCTGCTGTGGCCCAGATCAAAAATTGCATGTAGATTTTTTTCCCCCAAAATTAGAATGGAGGAAAAGCATTGAATTGCTTTTTTTAAAAAATCTACTTTATTTTTAAAATGTTAGCCTTTCTTCACATGTGTGCTGCTTTGAATAGCTATATAAATAACCTGGGGTTCCAGTTCAGCAGCATTAAGTAAGTGTTGCTCATCTGTTCTGCTTTTTTGGGCAGCAGTAAAGGAGGTGCCTATTGTAGAGTGTTTGTTATGGTATGTCAGCTTCCTGATGTCTGAAAAGAATGTCTTTTTACCCAAGATGAAACTTGGTTTTATGATTTAGAGGCATGCAGGCTTTGTGTGAGAGATGAATATTCCAGCATTAAAGATTCATTTAAGATACTGCAGTGAGTATCATTACTGGAGGAAAAGTGCTTTTCCACGTTGTAATTAACTATTCATAGTTCACATGCCATGAAATGGTCTCTTCCATGTTAACTTTGAACTTCATTCTTCTTTTGGACTTTGCAGCTGGTATAACACTTTTCTCAAAAGTCTCTTTTAGCACATGTTGAACAAAGCAACCCTGCTAGGAGAAACTGCAATGTGTAAAAAGGTTGGTGTTAGCAGACAGTGGTGCAAGGTTTGTGGCCTGATAGAACACATTCCTCAGCTAGCCAGGCTGCATAGCAAAGATTGCTCTTGGGAAAAGTCCCTGAATTCTTTGGCTCTTAGACAGCAAAGTCATACCAGTGACATGGCATGTTGGACCTTTTGTAAGGGGGAAGGACTTGAGATGAGTTTTGGTTTTGTTTTTCTTTAAATGCTGAGTTAAGTGCTGGAAGACTGACTTATGTGACAGAACTATTTTTAAAATAATACTGTAGTTCTCTAATTTTAATGTTTACTTTTAAATGGTACATATTAACAAGGAGCAAGAGAATAAAAGTCAAAATTTTACCAATATCAAACTTTAAAGTCTTAAAAATTTTCTTTTCTTTATGCAATTTAGAATATGTGATAGTGGCCAGTGTGAAATCCTAATTTTAGTTCAAAACTGAAGCAAAATAGGTGTGGGTTTTAGTCTGGTTGTTTTTTTTTATCAGTGCAGTCAGTGAAGAGGAGCATGTTGTCCAGAGAGGCAGCCCTCTTGGGGGAGTAAAATTATTAAAGATGGAAATAGCTGAAAAAGATGTGGATTCAGTATTTTTTAATGCTGTGGATACAAAAAGGCACCTATGGTGGTGTCTTATTTTAGGTCCAGTTGTTTTTCTCCAAGTGCCAGTAAAACATCAGATGTTCTTTTTAAGAGTGAAGCAGAGCAATGAGAGGTGATTGTAGTACTTAGTGTTTTATTTGAGCATTCAGTACACCCTCATCTTCATGGAACCATCCCTACTCATCCTTACAGCTCAGTCTCTGCAGTCACCTTCCTTTCAGTGCCTTGGGAAGGAGGTCATTGAAGAGTTTGGGAGTCCTTTACATTCCACAGAGAATGCATGGAAGTGTTAATGTAGCTCCGTGTGAATGTAGGTCTTAACGGAGAGGATTAAGAGCAGGCTTTGATTGGCAAGTGCAAGGTATTTTACTTGTATTAAAAGCACAGATTATATCTTGGCTGAATCTGCTTTGAACCACCAAAGGTGATAAAGCAGCTCATCCTCCTGGTTGGTTGGAGTCTGATGCTTCAGATGCTAATAAGGATGATACTTGTAAGATTTTTAAGAAACCAGACAGATAATGGTGTAGATGTTTCAGTTTTGTCCCTTAAAGCTTGCTATAGTTCAAAGAACCCAATGAAAATATATTAATCCCATATACTAACACAATTGATACTTCTGGGGAGCTTCTGTAGCCTGCTATAGGCACAGGCTCAGTCCTGTCTTTGTAAATGAAGAAAACATTCTTTGGTATTTTATTACATATCAGTGTGTGGCAGTTTTGTACACTGCTGTCTATTTTTTGTTTCTTTTAAGACATAAGATTTTTTAATTTAATTTCTTGGGGTTTTCCCGTCACTTCATTAGTAGCTCTTAAGCATTATTTCCATATTTGTTGCTGAAGTGGATGGTTTTTATTCCAAGAGTAGCAGTCATTTATTATGGGAAAGGGAAAGTAATCCATCCTTTTTTAAATTATAGCATTAAATGCTTCTGACTTTGCAAACATTGCAAATTTTCACTACAGAAAAGGTATCTGTTAAGCTTATAGCCCTTGTCGAAAGAAATCAGTTTGCACTTCTAAGTCCATTTTATGCAGACTAATATGACCTTACTGTAGGTGAGTTAAAGGTTATTGAAACTGAAAGCTTTCTTCAGGTTCAGGACACGTTAAACACAGGAGCACTTCCTCTGCCATTAATGTTAAGCATATAATTGAGTGCTGTGCTGAATTAGGGTCTGATGTCATTGGGAATGTGCTGCAGGACTCTGTGTCTATTAATGTTCCTTAAGGAAGGAGCAACTTAACGGGCCTGGGGCTGGAGGAGAAATCAAACCTGACTAGTAAATTTTATTTGAAATTTATTTATTCAACCACTACTTGGCAGTTGAGGACAATTTTGTTGTTGTTGTTGCTTTTCTTTGGTTTTTTTTTTCATTTGCAAGTGTGTTTGCTTCTTGAGGACGTGGGGAATATCAGAGGGACATGGGTCAGCAGGACGTGTGCTCATATTGCAGTGTCAGTTACTCTCAGTTCATCAAACCATGCTCTGTAAATAAACATTTCAGTGGGGCCAAATGCTTCTGGGTGCTCTGGATCCTGTAGAGTTTTAGTGCACAGGATGTGTACAGCAGTGTTCTAACATTTTGGGCAGATTCTGAAGTCAAGTTTGTTCTTCATTTGAAATCTGTTTTAAAAAACAGGAGGTAGAGAACCTGCTGCATTAACCAAGTCTGAGTACCAGGGTCATGTCCCAGGCTGTCCCTTTCACACTTGTTTATACTGGAGCCTATTGGAGATACTTGCTAGGAAAATGAAAGTTGAAGAGAACATTCTAGTACTGTAGGACTGAGCTGAGCAGCATGACGCATTTAGGAGGAATCTTGACATCATTTCATACTGTCAGAAGAGTTTTTGGTGTACTAAAGGAATGGAAGGATAACTTCTGATTATTTCTCTTTATGATATGAAGTTGCTGCAGTATTTGGGGCAGCCATTTGGTTTTCATAGTGTGTGTAATTTCGATGGTTTTGAAAGTAACAGGTGGGTAAGAGGTGTTTTCCTAAGAGTTCAACAGGTTAAATTATGTGGATCTATGCACTTGTCTTTGATAGGGGAATGCAAAGAACGCAGGAAATAGCATTGAAATGTAAGTGAAGAGAAAGCAGAACAGCAAAGCTGTTTGGAAGTTGGATGAGGTAGATCAGGACTTGTCCAACAGAATATCTCTAAGGATGATGTCCCACAGCCATTGTGGATAAGTGTTCCAGGCCTTGGCCTCCCTTGTGAATTTTTGCTCCATGCGTAAAAGAGGGATTTCCCACTGTAACTCATGTCCATGGACTCTCTGTCTCAAGGAAAATTATGTTTGGTTTCATTTAAGACTAGCTTTAAGAGTTAGCTTTTAAGGGTTGCAACTCACTTTTCCCAGCAAAATTAATTTATTGTCTGGAGTTCTTGATGCTTGGGAAAGATGAGTAAGGGTGTTATAGTAACATTAAAGTTTGTTTCCTCATTGAAAATACAATCCAGTCCTTAGTGTGTCAGTGACAGTTCTCATGGTAAGAAAAAAATATTTTTTGTTTTCATTGTAAATGAAACTCCTGCAAATCCTTGGGAAGTTGTTGCTGTGTGGATGTGTCTCCATTTGGATCTCCCTGCTGTTGCTTTGCTGTGGTGTGGTTCTCTGGACAGCTGCTGCAGTAGTGCATCAGTGGTCCCTTGAAACTGATTTTTCAGAAAGATGAAGTAGGACTTGGACTTAGTTTTAAAACATAGTTCCCATCTGTTTCTTAGCTTATTTTCTAATGAACTCATACCTTGCTAAAGGTCACTGTAAATGTGCTGCGCTTGGGTTTTTTGGGCTATTCAGGTGCTCTTGCTTCAAGTGTTTGTTCTGAGTGGGGAACATGTTTGGTGACTGTGGAAGGCTGATTCCTGTTCAGTGAATTCTTCAGCTCTGTTACCTTAAACAGTAGGGTTTTTCCTCGCCCTTGCTGTCTTCAAAATACAGTGAGCGCAAAACTTTGGAATGCTTTGGCTGATTAGCTGACTCCTGTGCAACTGGCTGAATTGCTGGTATTCTATTGATTGCATTACATCATTATAAAGATATTGTAAAACTTAATGGAAGTATTCTAAAACTTAACTCTTTTTTTTTTCTTCCCCTCTCCATAGGCTCATAAGTCAGTGAACTTTGTTTCAACTCTGCTTCAGATCACTATGTCCGAGCAACTGGATTTACCAGTGAGACAGGCAGGCAAGTTTTCAAATATTTTTGTCATTGTATCTACTCAAATGGTGCATACACACAAGTACACATGCAGTTACTGTTAAAGAATTCTAATGGTTTTAATGTCAAGCACTCGGGAGTTGCTCATGTTAGTCATCACAAGCTATTATCTGGTACCATGCACTGAGTAAGGAAGACAAAAAGAAAAGGTGTGTCGGGCTCCTGAATGATTCTTCCCCTTTATCTCTAGTGAACATTCCTGGGGGAAGCAGAATGGTTTATGATGCTGGTGCACTTGGTCCAAGGAGGTCATTTAAACTTGTACTGGGAGCACTAGTGTTTTTAAACATACTAAGTGGAAGAAAACAGATTATGTTTTTTGGATCCCTGCTTATTTGCATGTGAGCCATCAGTAAAATGATGTTGATTATTGACAGCTCCAAACATCACCTTAATGCTTCTCTAATTACTTGATAGTGGTTTTTAGTACATACTTTATTGGGTTTTCTGACTGGTGAGCAGAAGGGTGTGATCTGGACTGCTTATTTGGACCTTCTGTGTAGTAAACTACTCTAAGCTGTAGCCTAAACTTAGCTTGAATTTTTAGCTTACTGCTGGGAGTACTGGTCAAATGATGACTCAAAAAGGTTACTGCCCTACAAGTGTAACATGCAAAAAGAAGTTTGAAGAAAACCTGTGAAGTTTCACTCTGCTCCGTGCAAGCCAATTAAACCCCAAAGCATCCTGTGGAGAGTGGGGATGGCTCATTCAAGGCCCAGCTTACAAACAGTGTGTGTTTGCAAAGCAATTCTTGATAAATCTCTCTGAGGGCTGGCTGAAGTCTCTATTACTTCAGTCTTGTAATAATCTGCTGAGTGTTTCTTGACCTCTGCAGACACTTCCAGAAACCCTCTGGTTTCTGAATCTTCAAAAGGTGCATATGAAATTTAGGAAGAGAAGTTGCTTTATGGACTCCTATGTAGAATTAGATTAACAGTAACTTTGTTACCAGTTTGCCATTTTATATTTCCTGTTGCCTGTTGTAAGTACTTTTCCAAGTGCTGTGATTTATATTCTGCCACACAAGCAGTTTGGTTTTGGTTGCCAAATGGTAAATGCAGGGTTTGTTCCAGGAGCCTGATTGCTACAAATTGCTGTAGCACATAACCTGGGTATAAAGGAGCTCTGTTTCTCTAGCATTCATTCCTGTATCACTAACTTAATTAGATATTTTTTTTTGCTTACAAGGGATGTTTTAGGTTGTCATTAGTATTGATCAGATTTCTTTTTTAGTTTTAATGAAAATCTTGAGAAAATCATTATAATGGATTTTTCAGAAGTGTGTTGCTAAATAGTTTCACAACTGCTTACCTGAATCACAGCTAAAAGCAATTCCTGTAGTATTTTTATATTAAATGGGTGGAAGAGTATCAGTTTAGTAAATTATTGGGTTCATAACTTGCATGATTTTTCCTACTTAGGAAGGGCCAATGTTTTTGGAATATTTGCTTGCAAGACGTGTGTTTGTTTTGTGCTTTGAATGGCTGCCAGCTGATTTGCCACTCTTGTTTCACAGGAGTTATCTACTTAAAAAACATGATAACCCAGTACTGGCCGGACCGTGAAAGTGCTCCTGGGGAGATCCCACCTTACTCCATCCCAGAAGAGGACAGACACTGCATCCGGGAGAACATTGTAGAAGCCATTATCCACTCTCCTGAGCTGATCAGGTGCAGTTTTAGCCTCTGTGTGAATTACCTGTTGGGTTTCTTTCTTTTTTTATTTTTCCCCCAGCCAAGATCACCCACGTGCTAAGCATCGTTGTCACACACTGTGTATCCTAAACGTAGAATTAATCTAGATGGAAAAACAGTTTTCAGCTTGTGTAGCATGTAGAAATTTGTAGAATGTTAAGCAGAAACTACAGAACCTAAACCTTCTAAGCAAAAAGGAAGTCTAAGTATGGATAGTATGTGTTGTTTCAACACTACAAGAATTTTGTTAAAATAATACAAGTAACTTCTTTAATTGTTGTGCTTTGATTTCCAGAGTGCAGCTTACTACTTGCATTCACCACATTATCAAGTATGATTATCCAAGTCGCTGGACTGCAGTTGTGGAGAAAATTGGATTTTATCTCCAGTCTGACAATAGCGCTTGTTGGCTTGGAATTCTTCTCTGTCTTTATCAACTTGTGAAAAACTATGAGTAAGTTCTTTCTGGTCTTTCTTCATATAAACCAGCAGAATTAATATATTGGTGTTTATTTTTTGTACTCTGTGTATATTGTAACCATGTACAATTGTGTGTGGGACTGCGCAAAGGTGATGGAAATGTAATCTTAGAAAGTATTCTTGACTACTTGCTGTGCAGATGCTGGCTCATGTGTCTTCTCAAGTAAAAATTACAGGAAGACTGCCTTTGTTAAAAGTTTGAATTCAGAAAGAAAGGGTGTTTAGTTGTTTTATATGGATTGATAGCAGTAAGAAAGTCTGCTCAAAAGCATGACTTTTGTAGGAATTTATTATTTAAATCAGGTTTAAACCTTTAAACAATTTGTACTTTAGTACTTGGTGACAGTAACCATAGAAAGGTTTCAGAGTGTGAAATCTGGAGTGTTGGGAGCTCAGAATTAGTTAGGTGACTTTGTTATGATCACTTGGCTGGTCAGAGAAAAGGACAGTCCTGGAGTCAGGGAATTGTAGTAGTGGAACTGATGGAATTCAGAACTTTTTCAAAGTGTTGGAATGTATAACGTTTCTGTTTCAGGTTCTTGATTTAAAATATTGCATGGAAAAATTTCCATCTAATTTAATGATTTTTGCATTAGTCAGTGTAAAACAGTGAATGTCAGTTTCTCAAAAATAGTTTTACAGGAATGCCATAAAAATCTTTGTAATCCCAAGTGGGAGTTTTCTTAGTGGCTGAAAATTGTAAGTCCTGCTAAGGAGGGAAAAGCAACAATTCTCACTTGAGTTTCAGCTTAAAGATCTTTAACCAAATATGCTGCAGAGATCTGGGAGCTGTAAATGAAGGAGTGTTCAGTGGTAGTGCATTATGAGGACAGGAATACATCCATGTTTAGGGATCTGAGTGCAGTCACTGTGTGATAAGGCACCAGGTGTGTCTGTAGTCTCAGCTGATCAAACACTTCAGCTGAGGCCAGGAGCTGCTCCTGCTTGCTCAGCTTTCTGGTGGAGTCAGCAAGGGTGAGTTTCATGTCACCAATCATGTAGGAATGTGCACATTTCAGTGTTTCAGTCAGTTTAGTGGGACACGAATCTGTGGGATGTTATTACTTTGATCAAGTTTTTACTGCCTGAATTGTAGGAATATTTAAGTTTTGATTTTTTTTTTTCCTTAACATGGGACATAAATATCTTGGAGCTTTTAACTTTTTTTTGTCTTCAAATTCAATGAGCAAGATCAAATGGCTGCTCTTTGCATAATAATTTTTTCTAGTCCTTTTTTTTTGGGAGGGAGAAAATTAGAAACTGAATTTTCCTGGTGCAGTTTTAGCCTCTGTGTGAATTACCTGTTGGGTTTCTTTCTTTTTTTATTTTTCCCCCAGCCAAGATCACCCACGTGCTAAGCATCGTTGTCACACACTGTGTATCCTAAACGTAGAATTAATCTAGATGGAAAAACAGTTTTCAGCTTGTGTAGCATGTAGAAATTTGTAGAATGTTAAGCAGAAACTACAGAACCTAAACCTTCTAAGCAAAAAGGAAGTCTAAGTATGGATAGTATGTGTTGTTTCAACACTACAAGAATTTTGTTAAAATAATACAAGTAACTTCTTTAATTGTTGTGCTTTGATTTCCAGAGTGCAGCTTACTACTTGCATTCACCACATTATCAAGTATGATTATCCAAGTCGCTGGACTGCAGTTGTGGAGAAAATTGGATTTTATCTCCAGTCTGACAATAGCGCTTGTTGGCTTGGAATTCTTCTCTGTCTTTATCAACTTGTGAAAAACTATGAGTAAGTTCTTTCTGGTCTTTCTTCATATAAACCAGCAGAATTAATATATTGGTGTTTATTTTTTGTACTCTGTGTATATTGTAACCATGTACAATTGTGTGTGGGACTACACAAAGGTGATGGAAATGTAATCTTAGAAAGTATTCTTGACTACTTGCTGTGCAGATGCTGGCTCATGTGTCTTCTCAAGTAAAAATTACAGGAAGACTGCCTTTGTTAAAAGTTTGAATTCAGAAAGAAAGGGTGTTTAGTTGTTTTATATGGATTGATAGCAGTAAGAAAGTCTGCTCAAAATCATGACTTTTGTAGGAATTTATTATTTAAATCAGGTTTAAACCTTTAAACAATTTGTACTTTAGTACTTGGTGACAGTAACCATAGAAAGGTTTCAGAGTGTGAAATCTGGAGTGTTGGGAGCTCAGAATTAGTTAGGTGACTTTGTTATGATCACTTGGCTGGTCAGAGAAAAGGACAGTCCTGGAGTCAGGGAATTGTAGTAGTGGAACTGATGGAATTCAGAACTTTTTCAAAGGGTTGGAATGTATAACGTTTCTGTTTCAGGTTCTTGATTTAAAATATTGCATGGAAAAATTTCCATCTAATTTAATGATTTTTGCATTAGTCAGTGTAAAACAGTGAATGTCAGTTTCTCAAAAATAGTTTTACAGGAATGCCATAAAAATCTTTGTAATCCCAAGTGGGAGTTTTCTTAGTGGCTGAAAATTGTAAGTCCTGCTAGGAGAGAAAAGCAACAATTCTCATTTGATTTTCAGCTTAAAGATCTTTAACCAAATATGCTGCAGAGATCTGGGAGCTGTAAATGAAGGAGTGTTCAGTGGTAGTGCATTATGAGGACAGGAATACATCCATGTTTAGGGATCTGAGTGCAGTCACTGTGTGATAAGGCACCAGGTGTGTCTGTAGTCTCAGCTGATCAAACACTTCAGCTGAGGCCAGGAGCTGCTCCTGCTTGCTCAGCTTTCTGGTGGAGTCAGCAAGGGTGAGTTTCATGTCACCAATCATGTAGGAATGTGCACATTTCAGTGTTTCAGTCAGTTTAGTGGGACACGAATCTGTGGGATGTTATTACTTTGATCAAGTTTTTACTGCCTGAATTGTAGGAATATTTAAGTTTTGATTTTTTTTTCCTTAACGTGGGACATAAATATCTTGGAGCTTTTAACTTTTTTTTTCCTTCAAATTCAATGAGCAAGATCAAATGGCTGCTCTTTGCATAATAATTTTTTCTAGTCCTTTTTTTTTGGGAGGGAGAAAATTAGAAACTGAATTTTCCTGAGCAACTTTTAATCTTAATGTTTGGGTTTTTAGTTCAGAAAATGCATGAAAACTGTATTATTGAACAGGATTTTGGAGCTCAGTGTTTCTGTTCTTACAGAACATGCCATCTGGCAGCAGACTGAGTAGTCTTTTTCTTGTTATATTCTGAAAATTGCCACTGTTTAGGAAACTGAGTATTGATATTTAATATTAGTGAAAAGTCTACAAAAAATGTGTTGGAAAAACAAACCAAACCAAAGCTCAATCCTCTAACGCTGAGATCTCCCACGGGGGTCCAAGAATCTGACAAGTATTGATTGCTGAATCAAGAAATAAATGTACAATCACAAAATGATATTTTACCTTGTGATTGTCATCACCAGTATAGAAAAGATGCTGCTCTGCTCTGATAACTCTTGAATCAATTAGGAGTTTCTTGTGTAGAAGTTAAAATCTGGGGCAGAGATTTCAAAATGTGGCTTCGTTTCCTTTCAGGAATGTAGAAGTGTTGGTGGAAGGAAGTGGAGCCTTGTTTTCAGCATGGGCAAGCTGGTGGGCTGTCCCTACCATAGCAGCTCTGAGGTTTTACTTCAGGGATGGTTGGCTGCTCAGAGTCTGCCCCACAGCCTGGAATGGCACCTTCTTTATCAGATTGTTGGCTTTGGGCAAATTAAATGGTGAGATGTGAGAGCCATCAGTGGCAGGCTGTGAGAGGCTCCTCAGTTTGCTTTATCCAGTGTCAGTGAAGCTATGTAGCTTCTGCAAATATTTTGATAAATTGTGAACTGTGATTAATGCATTTTTTATCTGTAACACCATCTGGCTATGGCTTTATTTCCGATTCTGTCACAGGAACTGGCTAGGGGTTTCTTTAAGTGACAGGTTGTTATGAGCTGTCATACAACCAACTTGTGCCTACACTGGGGCAAGGTGAGCTTTTTCAATTTAAAGCCACCTGCAAGAACTGCAAAACTGGTTTTGTTCTTCTCTAAAGGTACAAGAAACCAGAGGAGCGGAGTCCCTTGATAGCTGCAATGCAACATTTTCTGCCAGTCCTGAAGGACAGCTTCATTCAGCTCCTGAATGATCCATCAGACCAGTCTGTCCTCATCCAGAAACAGATCTTCAAAATATTTTATGCCCTTGTCCAGGTAAAAAATGTTGTATATACTTGAACAATAATTTAAAGCATTATGCTTTTCCTTAAAATAGTGAATGACAGAAATATTACAATATTAGATTACATCTGAATCATTTTCCCTACTACTCAGCTCCATGAATCACAAGTTTCTGATTGTCTTGTGCTTTTACTTTTGAGCAGTGCTATTTCTGGTTGGCATTAGATAAAAGTTACACTTGCCATCCTCTAAGGTAGGATGTTTGCTGAAAACCAGTTAGAAAATGAGTTTTCTAAGGACAGATTGTGAAGGCCAGACTATAGAGAATTACCAGAGTAAATATAGCAGTTTGGAATGGAAGTGCTGTTAAATGCTTCAGAAATTAGAGTAACATCCATTTAAGTAACATTTTGGCATTGCATAAGCACAATGAATTGGAGCAAAGACCTCTAGCACCTTTCAGGATATTTATGATATAGGTTAGATGGTGCTAAGTTCTTTAGCCTGGTTTTTGAGGTAAATTTCTTTCTTTCATGGTGTAGGGAAGGATTTGAAAGCTAAAATTCAAACTAAAAGTAACAAATTTATTATAAAGCAATTAAAAAATAATTATTTTTTTTTCTTCTTTTTTTTTTTTAAACCAGTACACATTACCTTTGGAGTTGATAAATCAGCAAAACCTGACTGAGTGGATAGAAATCCTGAAGACTGTTGTTGATAGGGATGTACCAGCTGTAAGTGGCTTTTGGCTATTTGTCTTCAAGTTTAAGTAGTTTTCATTCACTAGAATATTGTTTCTGCATCCTTTTTTTCTCTACAGATGCCAAGAAAATAATAAATAAAAAAGACTAGGCTAAATGGAGAGTTTCAAACAGACTAAACAAATTTTGAAAATATGTAACTTGTTGTGAGTTCTGTTTTTAAATTATAGCAAAACTTATTTTGGTTTCTTGTTTCAAAAATGTATTGGTAATTTAGGCATATTTCATGGGCTTTATTTTTAGATATGCTCTACTTCATACTTCTAGTAAGCCAGAAGTTGAAATGGCAGGTTAGAAGCAAGATGTACAATGTAGTTTTTCTAATTACATATCATTTGAACTCTTTGTGAATAATTGGTAATATCTTCTTTTTTTTCCCCTAAAGGAAACGCTTCAGGTTGATGAAGATGATAGACCTGAGTTGCCTTGGTGGAAATGCAAGAAGTGGGCTTTGCATATTTTAGCAAGGCTCTTTGAGAGGTATTTTCCTTCCATTATTATTTAAAAAAAAACCTCCAAGCAAACATTCAAGTCAGTACAATTGCTGCAGCCTTGAGTTTACATACTTGCTTCTAATTCTAGGTATGGAAGCCCTGGTAATGTTTCCAAGGAGTACAATGAGTTTGCTGAAGTTTTCCTGAAGGCCTTCGCTGTTGGTGTTCAGCAAGTAAGAAATGCTGAGTGTGGGGGGAGCATTAGGATAAGTTTAGATTTAGTGCTGATTGCTTGTTTCATTATTTGCTGAAAAGGCTTCTTGTTCTTATTCAAGTTTTTTTTTCAAGCACATTGGTATGGAAAGCAGTGATGTCTGTGGGCTAAGAAAAGACTGATCAAGAAATTATCATTTTACCACATATCACAATCCACTTTCCACTTACAAGCCCTCAGATGAGCTCCAGACAAATGCTGCCAGTTTTTTTCCTTTCTGAAAGAGATGGGTATATGTGGTGCAATTGACCTTCAGAACTACCTTTTAGACTCTGGGTTTTTTTACTTAAAGACTGTAAACGCTAAATTTTCAGCCTTCTGCAAAAGCCTGATCAAGCAGAGGCTCTCTTACAGACAGGTAATTCTGATGTTCCCTTCCCACTTGTGTCCCTGTTTTGGGGTTGCCATTTGTGCTGTGTTTTAGAGTCTGCTGTATGCAAACAATCTTTGGATAAATTAAAAACATCGGGTATGTTTTTATAAAATTTCCTCATATTTGGTTCATAAATACCTTTATGTTAAGGTGATTATATGGCAAATGTCAATAGACTATTGATTTATGAAAATCTCAGTTGGAATGTATTCTTCAAAGCCTTTGAGTCAGACAAACAGCTCTTAGTTCAGTTTCAGTTCTCTTAATTTCTAATGAAATTGTAATGAATTACAGAACTTTTAAAGAAGAAATGTAGAGAAAGTATCTCATAAATCCAAGTATGGAAAACATTTTTCACATGGAGTGTGAGGCAATATATCCCAGCACTGCTCAGGGGTGTCAGCTTTGCTTCCTGAGGTGCTCACCTGTCACCTCTGGGTGACATTAGACAGATCATTACTGCACGTTCTTTAAGGCCTTACTGGTTGCTTTGCACTTCCAAGATAAAATGAAGTTCTGACAGAGGGCTATGTACAAAAGTAGTCTTTGAAAAAATAATTTTAACAGTTTCACAAAATGCTTGAATTTCTTTACATTGTCTTTGAATCAAATTTGATCCTTATTGTTATTGCAGCTAGGAAACTTCTAAGAATTTGGGTATTTAAAGAAAACTGCTAAAAATCAATACTTTGGCAGGCTTCGTTTGTTCCTAAACAATAATGTAACTTGTTCAGGAAGACAGACTGTGTTAAGGTTCTGCCCTCCATTCTTCTGCAGAAGATAGATCTTGGGCCTCTGCTCAGGACATGGAATCTGCCAAACAAATGTTGTGGAAGATTTTTGAGCAGGATGTGTTTCTTTACAGAAATTAGAAATCTGTGAAATACTGAAGAATACAAATTTGGATAATATGTTTCATTGAGCTCTCTCTACTCTCCAGAGTGTTTGCACCTTTTAGTAAAGGAATAATAGATAAATATAAGGCATGACACTACAGGTGGTTCAAGTATAATCTTGAAATACACTGCTAATATTATTGTCATAATTACTTCTCATTGATTAGCCCCCACCCTCCAAAAAAAAAATCCTGTACATTTAGTATTCACTTTAGCTAAAACTTCCTTAGTTTGTCCAAACCAGGCTGAGCTGCGTAGCTGGAACACCCTGAATTTATCCCTTGTGTTAGCAGCTGTTTTGCTCAAGACACTTCTCATGAGCCAGAACTAAGCCCTGGTTGGACACTGCTGCCTTGTAGTTCCTTGGCACTGTTACAGAATTTTATTTGCCCCAGAGTGTCCACCCTGTTTTTCCTCACTGCAGTTCTTAAAAACATTTTTAATATCTGTACCTACTGCATCTGAATCATGAAACTACATGCATCTTCTTGCATAGTCCTAAAAAAACCTGCAAGTTTGAACTTTTGCTCTCTTCTATTCTAACTCAATACCTAATGCCACAAAACCTTGTACTCAGGTGTTGGTACTAAGTAATTTCTATCTAAATCCTGAAGGTTTTTATACATGAGCAGTTCAAACTTTGGGAAGTGATAAAGCATCTAGAGCATAAAACTGTTTGTAAAGCTGTGAATATTTTGATGAATGTTTGCATCCTCCGTAAACAGAAGTGCAAGGCAATTCCTCTGGGAAAAACACTTCAGTCTCTGTGTAATAAATTGTATCAACAGCATTCATTTTCAAAATAACGAATCTTGGTTTCTCTAGATTTGTATTTTGGTAGTATTACAGATTGATCGGTATCTTTCCAGCTCCTTTGGGTTGGGATTTTTTTAAAAAATGCTTCTTTTGTGTGAAGACTTAAATGAAATCCTGGAAATGGGATTTGCCATTTCTCTCCAGTTAGTCAGTCTGCTTCCGAAGGTGCAGTGTTTCCACTGACCTGGATTGGGCTACTGGGAATTCCCTTTGCATTACCTGTGCAAAGCTCTCCTGTGAGCTGTAATTTAATTACTAGTCATGGTCCCATGTCCTTTTCATGACCTTATTTGTGGGGAGCCATGGACTTGAGCGCAGATGGATCCCTGTGAAGGAGTTCTGGATGCAGAGTTGAGGCCAGAAAGCCAAAGGGAGTGACTGACTGCTGGATCACTCCACACACACACAGGGCTCACACAGCTGTGTGGCTGTGAGGCAGCACAGGCACAGATCAGACTGTGAGTGTAGAGTGTTCTGATCCAGTGGCTGGGTGTGAATTTCTGCCCCCAGGGAGTGAAGATGGAATAACAAACCTCAGAGGGCAAAGACCCCTGGGGTGTGTTGGTGGTGAATTAGCATGTATGGTTTATGTTATTAAAGGATTGTATTTTTAAAATATGTGCAAGCAACCAGTATGAGTTGCAAATTGTCTTATAAAATTAACAATGACATTTGGTGGAAGGCTTAGTCAGTACCCATTTTAGCCTAATGAATAAATGGGGGTTTTGTTCAGTTTTGAGGGGTTCTTATGTAGGCTTGTGAGGGAGGGTACAATTGTGGTGAAAATGGGCTGTGCTCAGTATAAGATACTGATGAGATCTCATTTCTCTAGGTGTTGCTGAAGGTGCTGTATCAATACAAGGAAAAGCAGTACATGGCTCCTAGAGTTCTGCAGCAAACACTAAATTACATCAATCAAGGAGTGTCTCATGCAGTCACCTGGAAGAATCTGAAACCTCATATCCAAGTAAGCCATTTTTGGGGTTTAATACTTAGATGACTCAGAAATACATTAGTCAGTCTACTGTACAGTGTTACCAGTGATGCTACAATTCACATTTTAGGCACTTCTCTTATAAATTGCTGGTGGAAAGAGTTTAAACCAGGTTAGTGAAGGTTGCCTTGAAACATGAGCAAAGCCACTAATTTATTGCTATGTCTCCTCTGGGCTTTAATTTATTAAGGATTACAATCTAACACAGCAACACAACATATTTGGAGATGGTGTTAGCTGCTGAATTTATGGCATTGAATCATCTCCACATGCCATCTTCTAAAGGCAGTCTAGTATCTTGTGTTGTATTGTAACTCTGCCTAAACACAAAAGGGGTGCTTTTTTGTAAAGTGATACATAAATTCACTCTAAATCCAAATCGTTTTAGAATGTTACTGACAGGATGGAGAAAATGTATAAAATACAGGACAGAATACAGAGATTGATTTACTAGTGCTAACGAGTTTCAATCTCTTTTTTATTGCAGGGAATCATCCAAGATGTTATTTTCCCATTGATGTGCTATACAGATGCTGATGAAGAGCTTTGGCAAGAAGATCCATATGAATATATCCGCATGAAATTTGGTGAGCCTTTGAAATCTACTCATGTTAAAAATGATTTCATGCAAAGATGGGATTTTTATGGAGTGTTTTTGTGGAAACAGAGGTGGACTTAGTCTTAAAAAAAGAAAAAGAGAGAGAAACACAGTGTATTAACCAAATAATAGAAGCTGGACATTGGTGGTATTGTGGAAAGGAGAGAGGATACAACAGTCAGCAATGGCACAGGAGTTTGTGCACTTGTGAAAGTATTTAATTTACAGTTACAAAGTTTTTATTGCAAGTCAAACAGTCCTGGTCTTGCTAGCAACAACTACATAAATTTAATGTCATTTAAAGGTTATGCCATAAACAGCTAATATTTCAGGCCCTGGATTTCTTAGGGAATTTCACCCATGGCACAGTTCAGAGCAGATTTACCCCAGTGATAAATGACACATTATGGAGTAAGCCTGGCATTCCAGACTTGTCCCATTTCACCTCCTGTGCTCTGCTACTTTATCTTGGGGTTTACTCTTAAGTCTGTGCAGTCCTCTGAGGCTGGGAACAAAAAGAAACACTTCAGGCTCCCTTTACAAATTCTTCCCTTCACTAGGAATGTTTATGTGGCTAGAACAAGGAATCTGGAGGGGTTTGGGAGTTTTTATCCCTCAGGTCAGAGGCATACCTGTAAACACTACAGGTATTACACAAGGCTCTGGTAATCCTCTTCTGCAGAGAAATGAGAAACAGCATTTTTTAACCCAATTAATTCTGTGTGCTGGCCTGTACAGCAAATAACATCCATGTCAAGACTTGAATGTTGTGTCTGCTTCTACTGTTAAAAAAAGATTTATCTTAAAAATAAGAGACATGAACTTCAAATCAGACCTGTAGAGGCATTCATCATGAAAAACATGAAACATATGTATCCAACCACATGTAACTCTTTGGTCTTGGAATATCTCTAGTAAGAAAGCATGATTAACCACCTGAAGGGTGCTCTTTGTTCATATTAAATACATTGGGGTCATGAACTGTAGTAAAGGACTGGAATTTAAAACTGTTACAATGTTATTTAACAGATGTATTTGAAGACTTCATTTCTCCAACAACTGCTGCTCAGACATTATTGTTTACATCGTGTAGTAAAAGGAAAGAGGTAAGTTGTTCAAGGATTATACTGAAATACCACCAGCTAAACTCAGTTTATTTGCTGAAAGAGCTATTAATAAAAGTTTCACTTTTCTGCTCTCATATCATAGTACACCAAATTTGAAATTCCATATTTATTTTGCACTGGTCTATTTATGATTTTTTGTATTTGCAAATTCCCCTAGGACCCGTTCTTGACAGAATATTGTGTGTTTATAACAAAGACATAAAACATTGCCCAAATTCCAGCCTTGGAACAGGCGATTAGATATTGTAGCATTTCAGAGCACAGAGAATGGTACCTGGGATGATTGACTGGAATACTTTGACTAACCTTACGTGTAATCTAGGTCCTGCAGAAGACAATGGGCTTTTGTTATCAAATCCTCACGGAGCCAAACGCTGATCCTCGCAAGAAGGATGGTGCTTTACATATGATTGGTTCTTTGGCTGAAATTCTCCTAAAAGTAAGCAGAACAAATCTAGTGGTTCTTTTCATGCTTTTTTTCATCCTATGTTTTCTCCAACATACAGTGCCTTAGAAGAAATGCAAATAGCTCTGAGTTCACAAGTTTCTGAATTGCTGCCAGTTTTTTTTTAAGCTGTTGAACTTAATTGTTTTGGGTTTAATGTCAGCTTAATTACTTAATTACCAAAGTTTTATAGGTCATGTTCAAGTTCAGATTATTAAGTTCCTTTAAGTTCTGTGCTTCTGGTGAGAATTACTACACCATTTCTGTGCTTCACTTAATTACATTCCCTTTTTTTATGGAAGAAAGTAAAATAGTGCATCCAGTGAAAGGCTGTTTATTTAATGGACTGTTTTTTGTGTCTAGAAGAGAGGAAATAAAATGAAATTAAGAGATGTTGCTCAGTTAAAATGGTAGCAAGATAGATGCATGGCATGGACTTGTATTTGGACCACAGCTCTAAGCAGTTTCCCTGACCACTTTTACTTTTGGTGCCAATGTGCTGCCAACTGAAAGATGTCTCTTTGGGTAAAAAAATAGCTGGGGAAAAAGGTACCGCTATGATAACTGAAAAGGTAAAAAATCCATGTACGATCCAAGTTTAATTACTAATGTAGGAGATCATTGTTGCATAATTGACTTTAAAAAAGGGGTAAGTGAAAAGTCTGAGGGTTTGTTACACTCTTCACGCTTTATCATGTGTGACTTTTTTACTGGGAGAGAAATATATTTTTATACAAGTTTTAAACTGATGTGCTTCTCTTCATATTTTGACAGAAAAAGATCTATAAGGATCAGATGGAATATATGTTGCAGAATCATGTGTTCCCCCTCTTCAGCAGTGAGCTGGGTTACATGAGAGCACGGGTAAGAAAGTGTGGCATTTACTGGTGAGATACACTGTTCCAACTGAAGAATTCCAAAATCTGCAACTTCTTCCCTCTCACAGACGCTCTCCTTTCTGCACCTTTTTCATAATAAATTGTACACCTTTTCCAGGGATGAGTAGCAGTTTTTACATGTGATTTTAGATAGCCCCTGTGTAGTTTTGGAATGGCTGCAGCGCTGTGTGCACAGTTTCCCATCTGTGTCTGGTGGTAGGGTCTGTGTGTGTTTTGCACATAGACTGTACTGCTCACACAAAACCTGTGGCCAAAGATGAACCTGAGATCATAGTACTGGTTTAGTGACAGCCTCCCACTGACCAGCCTCCACACTCTCAAACATCTTCATCGCTGAAAAGTCTTTAAGTATCTTTATTCATCAGGAGTTGCACCTCACATGCAATGATTTGTGTAGGTTATGGCTATACAAACAGTTGATAATCCTCTTTGTAGGTTTTGCAGCTCAGAATTTCTTCACTGGTTTTTTTTTCAGGCTTGCTGGGTTCTTCATTATTTCTGTGAAGTCAAATTTAAAAGTGACCAGAATCTGCAGACAGCCTTAGAACTCACAAGAAGGTGTCTCATAGATGATAGGGAAATGCCTGTGAAAGTGGAAGCTGCAATAGCTCTTCAAGTTCTCATCAGTAATCAAGAGAAAGGTAGGAGCCTTTTCTTGCAGCTACAGGAAGCTTTAATGGACTAGGTGTTAACTTGGTGATGTTCAGGCAGACTTGTTCTCTTCTTCTCTGATGTTAATTTCCTTCTTGCAATTGTAACTTGTAATAATTTACTCTAATTTTTCAGCTAGAAAAGTTTAATTTTTTTAAATAAATTGCATTTTAACATTATAAGGCATTATGATTATTAAATGTGGTAAACAAGAGCTTCGTGGTACAGTAAATCCAGTTTTATAGCACCTAATAATAGAATCAGAAATACAGTGGCAATATCTGTCTTGGCATATATTCATTCATGTTTAAATTTATTTAAACAAAAAAAAAATACCATCTTGATCCAGGCAGGTTTTACATGGCTTAGTATTCCTAAGCTGGCATAAAAGCCACAAAACAAACATAAATTATATATTTACTACTTCAGGTAATTTGATGAAGGTGTATATGTACCAATTCCCATTCAATTAACATTTGCATTGATCAGTAATCTTGTATTTTATGAATTCAGACCACAGTGCTCTGGTTTTCATACTTGAATTTTGATACTCTTGTTATATATTCTTAAAATTTGTTCCGAATGGTAGTATTGCTGTAATGATTTATACTACTCGTGGTTTTGGCATGTTAATGCTGAAGTACTAAATAAAGTTATTTGAGGTGTAGGTTCTTAAACTGACCTGTGTTTTTCTAAGCATGTTAATTCAAACATTCCACCTGTTTTACAGCTAAAGAATATATTACTCCATTCATTAGACCTGTAATGCAAGCTTTGCTTCATATTATAAGAGAGACTGAAAATGATGATCTTACTAATGTGATTCAGAAGATGATCTGTGAATATAGTGAAGAAGTTACCCCAATTGCAGTAGAAATGACACAGCATTTGGTGAGACTTTACGGTGGCTTGGGAAGATGTTTAATATGGGAAAGATTGGTATTTAAAATTGATAGTTGAGTTTGACCATCAATTAATAGTTGTTTTTACTCCAGCCTAAATCCATTGATACAAGTAATTTTCTTTTGCATTTAGACAGTGTTTCATCAGAAGCAGCTTCATAACTTAGACTGAGTAGAAATTCCTCTAAGAACAATTCTAGAAGCATTTGTGAAATCTTTGCATATTTCTTCTTGATAGTGATAATAATGAGATTGGTAGCACATTTTAGGTAGTCTCGAGAATGTCACTTAGGTTGTCTGTTTTAAAATATTAAAGAGTAAGTTTTAAATGAAAAGTTTGGTGTGAAAATAAAGTTGAATCTGCAGGAGGAATTCAGAGATTCAATGGCTATATCTAGCAAGTTGTATTAATAGTTGCAAAAGCAGAGGTCAGCTCAGTGCTTCTCTATTAAAGGCCTTGGAGTTACAGTGGAATTGTTAGTGTGTCCTCTCTGGGAATGCCTGCCAAGTGTTCTGGTCTAGTTCAACTACTGAGGAAACCTTGTGTCAGAAGCACTTACCAAGGGAAAATGTATTCTTTTGCATGGGACATAATGTCATTTATATATTTTTATTCAGAAGTAGATAAAGGGTAAAGATAGCTCCAATGGTTTAACATCCAAATTTTATCATCCTGAGAAGAAATTCTGGAGCAGAGCAGTCACCTGCTATTATTTGTATACATTTTCTGAGCAGAAGTCCTTCTGAATTTGTGTAGAGTGCCAGACTTTAACAATTTAATGACATATTTATGGGTTGTTCTGCTATTATGTGCAGGCAATGACATTTAACCAGGTGATCCAGACTGGTCCAGATGAAGAGGGCAGTGATGACAAAGCAGTGACAGCAATGGGAATCTTGAATACTATTGATACACTTCTCAGTGTAGTTGAAGATCACAAGGAAGTAAGTAAATATTATTGTAAATCTGATATGTATGATCTAAGAACACTCTTAAGTCTTTTGTAGTCCTAGCATTGTTACATGAAAAACTGTCCTTTTGGACAAAAAGATCTTAAACCAGACACTTCTCAGTGTAGTTGAAGATCACAAGGAAGTAAGTAATTATTACTTTAAAGGTGATATGTATGGTCTAAGAACACTGTAAGTCTTTTATAATCCTATCATTGTTACATGAAAACCTGTCCTTTTGGACAAAAAGATCTTAAAATATAAAATAGTGAAGTACTTATCATGTAGCCAAGTTGTAACAGAGTGGGTCACTTTTCTAATGCAGTGCATGCAGTAATAGAGCATAAATGTTGCCACAGTATTTCCCATAAGAATCCACCTTCTTGTTCAAATAGTAGAAGCAAAGTGTCTGTAGCAGGTGGAGCTCTGTCAGCTCAGCTGGAAACACACTTCTGATTTGATGAGGTCTGCCCTTCAAACAAAACAGATAAAGCTTCACATAGCTGCAAACATTGACTCTGCTGGCTGGGTTTGCTGTGTGACAGAATCGATGTGGGTAAATACAGCTCTTGTGGCTGTGCTCAGAGATGGTGGATTTCACCTGCCTCATCTGCCCTGGAGAATTTTCCTTTGGGGTTAAAACTTCTGTCATTTTGTTTTGGTGTACTGAATGGAGTCACTTCTGTCCAGAGTACAGCCAGTTCAAAAGATGCCATTTCTGATTAAAATCTTTCTTGGCAAAGTCAGCTAGAGTCTTTTAATAAATACATTATAGTTTTTTAGTGACTAAAAAGTTCAGTAATAAGCTGTAGGGCTCTGAAGACTTCACTAAAGAAGCAGCATCAAATTCCCAAGGGAATTCCCAGGAATTCAGTCTGCCACACCAAGGACCAGCTCAGCTCATTTTCTTGTTGCTTGTACTTGTTTTTGTCAGCAAGCCCTTGCCTTCTAAATGAAAAGTCTGTGTAATGATATGCTAGTCCTGAGAAACTCAGTTTGAAAATGTTGACCAGTAAACATTTATATTTATAGACATCTCCCACAGCATGACCAGTGTTCCAAGAGGTAAAGTATTTAGCAGGTTAGGTTCAAATCCTGTTCTGCATAACTAAAACCAGAAACTCAGCCTTTACTTGTCCCTGTGCAAGGTGAGTGCCCTCAACAGGTTAATGACTGTTTTGTTAGCTATTCCATGGTCTAATATATACTGACTGACTCTGTAGGACCAGCATTTACACTGATGGTCTCCATACCATATGAACATCCTAAAATAGGTTTGGGAAGTGGTTTGGTATTTAGGATTTGTTTGGAGTCTTTTTGTTTTTAATTTCTTTTCTGGAACAGGAAATACCTCCTGTGATTTCCATTGTTTACTACTTTTATTTATATATATATATTTGCTTACAGTATTTTAATGGGACTGAACTGGTGCAAAGGGTTAGTCAGGCTTTTCCTTTTAAAGGACACCCTATAATGAGATTCTTCCATATTCAAAAACTGCCTTGTATTGAAAGTTATCTTGCAAATCCTTAGCTGAGTGCTGCTCTTACACATTTAGTGCTCTAAAATGTGAGACATTTCTAATAGTTCTTAAAAACTATATTGTATATATAGAAGCCGCTTTGACAAATTTTAAAATGAGTTTAATTTTCACTCCAAAGTATTGAAAATAGTCATTACCTGTTCTTTTAAATTTTTTTTTCAGATTACCCAGCAGCTGGAAGGGATCTGTTTGCAAGTGATTGGAACAGTTTTGCAGCAGCATGTATTAGGTATCTGTACTTCTGCTGGCTTACTTTTAGAAGTGCATGGGATTGGCATGCTATTTACCTAGATTCTGTTTGTTTTAGAGTTCTACGAGGAGATCTTTTCCTTGGCTCATAGTCTGACCTGCCAACAGGTTTCTGCACAAATGTGGCAGCTTCTTCCTCTTGTGTTTGAAGTCTTCCAGCAGGATGGTTTTGATTATTTTACTGGTAAGTAATATAAATAAATCAGGGAGCCAGAGGGTTTCATGGATGCGATTTCAGCCTTACAATGAATTGCATCATAAATGAAATGTTAGGAAAACACTCAGGTGAGATTACAATTGAAGTATTTTTTGCTCTTGCTGCTACCAGACTTGTTTTGCTAAGGCATCTATGACTTGCAGACTTATCTTGGCAAACATTAAGCAAGAACTGTAATTATTAATACACAGATTTCAACCTGATTTTAATAGCACGCAGATGATACCTAATGTGCTCATTCTTCTTTTACGTATACAGATATGATGCCTCTCTTGCATAATTATGTGACTGTTGATACAGATACCCTTCTGTCAGACACAAAATATCTTGAAATGATCTACACTATGTGCAAGAAGGTGAGTAGATTGCTGTGTGGTAACAAAACCTGCCATCTCTGAAGAAATAACCGTGTTAAATTTGGTACTTTTTTCCACAGCAGCTTTTGACTTCTGCTCCTGAAAGCATTTTGCTATCTAACATCCTCTAAGCTTCCTAAATTACTAAGTTATTGCAGAGAGATTTAAAGAGATTGCATGAAAATTTCAGATACATGCTTTTGCTGAAGGGAAAAATAAATCCTACACAACAAAAGCAGAATAAACAAAGCAGGTTCTGTGCAATACACTTTGTGCAAGTGGGCATGCAAGACAGATTGCAAAAGGTAGGTGGATTCTTCCATCTGGGATTTGTAGCCTCACCATGGCAGGGATGCACGTGCTGCATGTGTGCTGAAGGTCTGACACCTGCTAGTTAAGTAAGTGTGTAGGGATGGAAGGTAAAGGCACAGGATAGGAAGTTGTTTTCCCAAGTTCCTGGCACATCAGTGGTGAAAGCTGGGAGCAGAATGAAGTTGGGCAGGGTTTCTGTATTTTAGTTTGTTACTGGCCTTTCCTTGTCCAGTCAAAATGTAGAACATACAGCTTTCCACAGTGTTAGCACCATGTGAGGAAAGGAATACTTTTTTATAAGATGCGTGTTAACGTTTTATCATCTCTAATAGTAATATGTGGGGATTTCAGATTTCCACTCCTGGATATGATGTGTGGTGTCAATATAAGAGCTTTGGTGAACTGTCAGCTGTGCTGCCTGTGGGATTTCCTGAGTAATTCTTTTGAAGATGTTTAAATATTACCGTGAACAACTATTTTAGTATTCTGTAAATACTAGTGAATAACTCTTGCCAGCCGTTGTTTGAAAACAAGTTGCAATCAGGCCAATAGGGATATTTGTAATTTCTTGGAATCTTACATATAAAATTAGCCTGTCATAACCACTTAGTGATTGGTGTTAGCTGAGCACAGCGAATTTTTAACACAAGTTTTAGGTATTGCATGGTCTTCCACTGGATATCCCATTTTTGTAAATAAAACTTCTACGAAATTCAGTACATTGATGAATAAGTAATGTTTTTCTTTTGTGTATGAAAATAATCATTGGCAAAATGGCAGCTGATGCTTTTACTGTAACTGTAACTCAGCATCCATCAGTTCTTGAATATTTGTACATTTGGTTAGTTTTGCCCACTTTCAGCAGTTTGCAGTCTCTGGTTGTCACACTGAGCCATTGCTGTAGATCTGGCTGCCTCACTGATGGCTGTTGATGCTGGACTTGTTAGAGGGGGTAAATTCATACCAGCTTTTCAAAGCAAAGCAGTGTTTAGAGAATACTCTTTGAAGGGATACACCACCAGTAATGGCTGTGTTGCAGGTCCTTACAGGAGTTGCTGGAGAAGATGCAGAATGTCATGCAGCAAAGCTGTTAGAAGTAATTATTCTTCAGTGTAAAGGGCGTGGCATTGATCAGGTTGGTAATGACTTTGGTTGCTACAACTTTTAAAATAGTTATTGTGTAGTATGAATTGATTATGTATTAAGATGAGATTTGTTATGAGCACTTGATGTGGTGCAACTGATAATCCTGTCAGTGTTACTCATTCACAGCACTGCAGAGTTCCTGCACATTTTGGCCCCAGAATTTAGGACACTGCAAAACTGGTGTTTTTCTGAGTCTGGAAAAGTGCCACCTCAGGAGCATCTTGGTTCTAAAAAGTCAGTTAATTGCATTCTAAGTTAATTCTAGTGAATATTTAATGAAAATTATTCTGCCAACCTCATAGCTTTGAAATAATGAAGAATGAAAATGAAGTTCCTAGAATCCAAATCAATGTAATAGAGGGACCAGGGACTTCATTATGTACATATAGCAGTTGGAATTTGAGAGATGAATAAGTTGATTTTTCTGGACTTTCTAGTGTACACATTTTCTCTATTTTCCATTTTTAATACACAAGATTATAGAACCAGAAGTTACATTTGCTGTGCAGGATGTTACAAAACCCATGTGATTAAATATTTTCACATTTTCATTTCATCTTTGTATCTGACTTCTGCTGGCAATTAAAAATGACTCAGTTTTATGCCATCTGTGTTTATGTGCCACACTGTTGAAGTACAGAATGACAAGTTTTATTTTTGATCACTGAGTGTGAATGTTCCCACTGTCCAGTGCATACCCTTGTTTGTGGAAGCTGCCTTGGAGAGACTGACCAGAGAAGTGAAAACCAGTGAACTGCGAACCATGTGCCTCCAGGTTGCCATAGCTGCTTTGTATTACAATCCTCATTTACTATTAAACACCTTGGAAAATCTTCGTTTCCCCAATAATGTGGAGCCTGTCACCAATCACTTCATAACTCAGTGGCTTAATGATGTAGACTGTTTCCTGGGGTAAGTGTTTGTACTTGTGGAGATGATTCTCTGTGTTACACCTGCTTGTAAATCATGACAAAACTTGCAACTGTTCTATTCTTCTGTTTTGCAGACTCCATGACAGAAAAATGTGTGTGCTTGGCCTGTGTGCTCTTATTGACCTGGAGCAAATACCACAGGTTTTAAATCAAGTTGCTGGGCAGATCCTGCCAGCTTTTATCCTTTTATTTAATGGATTGAAAAGAGCATATGCCTGTCATGCAGAGCATGAAAATGACAGTGATGATGATGATGAAGCTGAAGAAGATGAGGAAACAGGTATGGAGACAGAGCCTTTGATGTTATTTTGTATGTTTCATTTTTTTCTGATGGAGATACTGAGTTCCTTTGTGGAATTCTTCTGAATATCTTAATTCCAAAAATGAAGCACTGCAGTAGAACACTGAACATATTTTAACAACTTTTAAGTATATCTGACTTACTTTCCACTCTCTTAAAAACTGACTTCCAGGGCTGAGTTAAAAGAGCTTCCCCCTTTCCAGCCTGCACGGTATTGTTACCACTTCCACTGCCTGTTTTATCTAATTAGCCACATTTCTAAAGAATTGTTCTTGACATTTTCAAGATAAACTTTTGTTTGTTTATAATTAACTCAGAGGAGCTGGGAAGTGATGAAGATGACATTGATGAAGATGGTCAAGAATATCTTGAAATTCTAGCAAAACAGGCAGGTGAAGATGGGGATGATGAAGACTGGGAAGAAGATGATGCTGAAGAGACTGCTTTGGAAGGTTATTCCACAATTATTGATGATGAAGATAACCCTATTGATGAATATCAAATATTTAAAACAATTTTTCAGAGTAAGTAACTGTATTTCTTTTCCTGGCCAACAAGTTACATTTCAGCTTTAGTGTACACTGTTGTTAGCTAGAACCTGTTCAAAACTTCCAAACCAGCTTTCCAATATGTGCTTGAACCATTTCTTTCTTTGAAAAGGAGATGCTATTGTTAAACCTCAGTAGCAGAGGGAGTTGCTTGAATGAATGAGTGGTAGGGAAGAGGTCAGAAGCTGTACTAATGTTTAAGTGTCTTGAATTATGGAACCGTAACAGAATATCACTCTGATTAAAATGGCAGTGAGCGAGTAAGGTTTGAGTTCTAGAACATTTTAATAACACTTTCCTTTTGCTTATGTTTTGTGTCTTCTGCAGCAATTCAGAACCGTAACCCCGCGTGGTACCAGGCTTTGACCCAGGGCCTTACCGAGGAGCAGAGGAAGCAGCTGCAGGACATCGCGACCCTGGCGGACCAGCGGCGGGCAGCGCACGGTACGTGCACCTCACACACTCTGCCAGTGCCCTGCTGTGCTCAGGAGCACTGGACAGAAAAGCCTTGAGTTCAAGCCTGAGAATGGCTCCATCAAAACAGGGCTGGTAGAGATCTCTTAGCACTGCCAGCCTCCATGCACAAACGGGGTGGCAGTACCACAGGTGAGGGGAATGCTAGAAACACGTGGGGAGGTAGGCAAGGAAACAAAAGCATATTTGTTCTAATTTCTTGATTTGAAAACAATTTATTTGATTACCTGAGGGTAGTTGAACTCCAGGTATGTTAACTGATTCATGATCTCGTGAGATGTCACGTAGTCCAGCTGGGATAGACAAGGGTTCTGTGGTAGGAGAACACTAAGTTATGGAAGTAGTGCCATCTGTAAAGCCACATCATTAAGCCTATTAAATATCACATATGATACAGGTTTTAAAATCTGTATTCAGTTTTCCCTTTTGAGAATAAGCCAATATATATAACACTCTTAAGTCAAGACTGGATGTTGAGGGATCAGTCCATCCTCATATCCTGTGTCTTAGTAAGCAATTGCTACAGATGTTTCAAAACAGAAATTCATAAATTTTTCAATAAAAATATTGGTAGTAAGAATACACATTTAGTAAGTGCTTTTCATGAAAGAACAGCCTAAATCACCTCACAAAGCTTGTCTGGGTCCAGAATGATCCAGTTTAAATGATTATCAAATACAGTTTCACTGTGACCCCTCTCAAGCAGTAGACATTTTTTGATGTAATTTTATACTACTGCATTTTATGGAGACAAAAAATTTTGAGGTGTGTGTTTATTTGTTTGGGGGTTTTTTTGTACTGGTTTTTTTTTTCAGAAAAATTGTGAAGTTTAACTTAAGCAACCAGATCCCTGTGGAAAATTCTTGCCTACTATCACAGTATACTGATACTACTTTTAGGCTGCTTACCACACATGGGGACATCCTGTTAGAAGGACTTGAAATACACTTCTCCCTTATTAATGTAGCTTAGAAGAATTTCCATATGCTGAGAGATATGTCTTCTGTGGAGCTGTGAGGGATTCTCCCCCCATGCTCCACTAGCCATGGCAACATCTTTGTGGCCTGTTTTCCAAGAACCAGAGCCAAAATGCAGATTTGCCAGATAGTATGAGCTGACCTGTATTCCCAGGGAGATTGCAACTGTTTTGATTTAGGAGAACTAAGACCAACATAAGACATTAGTAAGTGTTGTTATCTTGGCCTGGGAATAATACAAGCCACCTTCTGCATTATTTAGACTGTAGTAAAGGTGCAACCTAAATTACCGACCTGATCTTCAGTTGTCCATGCATTAGAGTTGTACAAACTGGTTTACAGTACTCCCTGTCCTACAGCAGTGTTTGAAGGGTGGTAAAACCAGACATCTTAACAATCACTGGTAGTTACAGTGATGGATAGGTGCACCTTAGATGCCTAAAGATTGCAGAGTCTGTTGATGTTAACCAGAAAAAAATGTGTGCTTGTTACTAAGTTTATAAGTGCAGTATTCATTCTGGTCCTGTTTCTAAAGTACAGTCATGTCCAAAAGCTAAAGTGTGGGCTTTTTGAAGTACAAATTCATGAAAGCATGGTGGTAACAATACTGAGAAGTTAAAATAAGTAAACAGTCCATCTGTTCTGTGGGACCTGGCACATTTCCACGTGTGGGTGCTGATTCCTTGGCTGGGTAACCCCAGGTTAAACCTGTATCTCTGAGAGACTCCACGTGGTCAGTCACAGAATCTTGGTCTGTCTTCCCCCCTACACACACACTAAACCTTCTTCCTTCTATTTCTTTGTTTTGTTTTAGAATCCAAAATGATTGAAAAGCATGGAGGATACAAATTCAATGCTCCAGTTGTGCCAACTTCATTTAATTTTGGAGGCCCTGCCCCAGGAATGAATTGAATTATCACTTTTCCTGCTACTGTGTGATTGTAGTGAAGAGCTTGTGTTCCTCCCAATAGTGGTTCCAGAACTGGTTCATGTTATCTACAACTCACTCTAAACTAATTTATAAATAGATTGGACAAAAGCCCCAGAAGTGGGACCTGATTATTCAACCTGATACTGGAAAGCAAACCAGAGGTCTTTTTGAAGATAGGAAGAATCTGAATTTAAAGCTTCAAATGACACGCTTTGGAGATCGGAAATCAAGAGGGGATGTCATGAAGGCAGCTTTTCTTTTTCTGAGGAAAAAAAAAAAAACTAGACATGGGCTGCAGGACTATTTAAAATGTCTCATTTACAGTACAAGCTAGAAGGCAGACTTAATTTTTACACCTGTGGCAGTATGAGTATTTGCCCAGTTTCTTTCCCTTTTATCCCTACTACTGGGTGTCTATTCTTTTAATGTAAATAAGATAAGGTAATCAGATAGCCTTACTTAATCTTCATCATTTCCATTTATCAAGATTGTTCATATGTAGAATATTGGACACTTAATGTAGCACTACATAACTGATAAATCTGTAAATGAATTAGCACTTTCATATTGAAACAAGCCTGCTAGCCTATGTACAAAAATAGCAAAATGTTTGCTGTTTATAAAAATAAAAAATAAGGGATGTATTGGGGAAAATAATTTCAAGTTATTAATTTAAAATGAACTAGCAGTTTTGTACCTGGTGACTTTGTGGTGCAGTCACCTCTGGTTGTGACTTGAATTCGGATATGTAAAAAGGGGTTAGTGATATTTCATTGCTGCTAAAGAAGAAATAGCAACACCCTCCGTGTCCTTTGTTTTTTTTAAAGATCTCACTGTACAAGCTAGAAAATTGAACAAAAATGTACTGTAAGCACAAAGAAAAGTTATCCTCTCTAAGGCAGGTAAAGGAGATGTGAAGTTCTTAAGGTCAATTGAAGTGTATGGGTGAAACACCTACATATGCAATCTATTAAAAACAACAGTGTCATTGGCTGATCTGGGCTATGGTATTTAAATGCAATTTTCCCCCCCAAGTTGTGCAGAATATTCTTTTTCCAGCTCATGGTAGTGCAGGTGCACTACTCCTGCATTTCATTCCCCCTCTTTTTGCACTTGCAGCATTAGTGTGTGCTGTTGTCTGCCTGATCCAGACGGTGTATTTGAAGTTTTGCCAATCTTTCAGTTTGAAGCCACAATTTTCTTCCTTCAAAGTTGCTATAGTAACTAGTATTTTAGCTAGAGAGGCAAAATACAGTTCCCTCTGGGACCACTATCAAAACCACTGTATGAAGAAGCCAGCAGGGAGAGGCTGTGAATGGGTTGGCTTAAATGCCCCCTTTTTCTTTTCTAAAAGCAAAACCATTGGCGTTTGATCTTGCCTTGAGATCATTGGTGTCAGGTCTTTTGAATCAAATGTTTGGGTTGTTTTTTTTTTCTTTAGGCTGTTTTTATATAAAAATGTCACCTGCTGTTACAATTGATATTAAACAAGCTACCTTAATTTAATGTAAGCCTCCAAAATTTAAATACAGGTTAAAAATAAACTGAGTTTTTATCTGTAAAAATGAAATGCACATATATATATATTATGATACTCAAAATGCAGTCTTCAGAAAATTGGTCTGTGTGGTGTGGTTTTTTGCATCAGCAGAGTAGCAGGATTTGGTGGTGCTTTGGGGTTTCCTTGCTGAGCTGCCCAGCCCCATGTTCTGCTTCCCAGGCAGCAGGAGGGTGTTCCAGCCTCTCCACTGTGGCTGCCTGGCTCTGGCAAACACTGCCCTGCACACGGGGGGCCAAGGTGGGACACGGAGCCCTGGCCCAGTACCAAAGGGACACTGGGAAAGCAAAGCACCTGAGGTGGAACAGCCTGACTTCCTTGGATGGGAACATCCATCCTCGAGGCGGTGTGAGAGCCGGGGTAGTGCCTGTGCATCTTTAGGGGATGCCCAGAGCAGAACTCACCAGGACTTTGTGACTGTAACTCACGGGCACTTCCAGGCGTGCTCCGGCCCCCAGGGACTCTGGGCAGGGTTTTCTTTTTGTAGAAAAAGCTGAGAGATGTGCTTCCAGCACGCCTTCTCCTTGCATTGCCTGGGAACACCCCGTTTGACAAATCATTTCTGAACATCTGCTGGCTGGGTATCTGCGTACCTTCATATGCATCCTGAAAATGCATGAGGAGCTTTGAGGACAGATGAGCCTTCTGCCTCGTGGCACAAGATGTGACAGCAGCAGTGAGAAGGCTTCACGTATAAAGCAGATTGCAAAAAAATAGGGGGAAATCACCAATTTTAGTGCTGTTGTCAGTTCTGGAACAATTATATTTCTCAAGTCAAGGGAAGAATTTTATCTTGGTGTGAGGAATACAGTCTTCAAGGGTGCTTTTATGTGTCACTAGACTGGTTAGCAAGGAGCATCTTTTTTAAGAATGGATCTAGAACTTTGCTTTCCTTTGCTCCAAGAAATGTATTTATATAAATTGCAAAGCAATTTTGCATTGTTGGTGGTGGTGATAGCGCATTTTGTGATGCAATATATCAATTGCAGTGATACACTTATGTCAAATTAAAAACTGATCTTCCTCCTAGAACTTGCACTTATCCATTCCATTTTCAAGGATAAAGCAACTCTAAAGGGAGAGCTGGGAAATTTAAAGCCTGTTTTTTTCTATTATGGAAGATCTTGGATTAATAAACATCTAAAGCAAATCCTTATCTTCACTTATTTCAGTGTGGTGTTTTGAATGTAGCTGTATCCTTACAGCAGAATCCTGCTCGAGTTGCACAGCTCTCAGGTTTGTATTTCCCTCTCCAAAATATTCCTTAGGCACAACCAGAGTCCTCTTCAACTGCATTAAATATAAAAAAAAGGTATTTTTTTAAATTGCTGACATACTGGGTTAACATTTTTTCCCCTTAATCACTGTCTTTAAAGAATAATTAGTATGTATCAGCATAGTACCACAAAGCTCTATTCCAATCTCCTGTAGCCTAGGACTGTTACTGCAAGATTTGTCAAGTCTGCAGTGGAATAATTACTGACTACCTGCCAAAAAACATGGAGGTGCTCTTAATTATGCCTACTAATGGATACCTGGTAAGTTTTATGGGTTGATTATTTTCTCTGTGGAACCTTCTACATAGCCAGAATGAACCAAGTGGAAAAGCTTTGTTGCTGATTATTAGTTATTTTTCAATCAACATGTAGCTTTATCTTAGATGGCATGTCACTGGTTTGTGTATTTCTGCTTTTTTTGCAAACTGATAGTGGAAACATAAAGCACTTCAGAATGGGAAACAGATATTGTAGTATTTCGCAGAGATTATAACAATCTATTAAGACATGGGGAGCTGGCAAATCAGAAACAGGATTTTATCTTGGGGATTTCACTGCTGCTATAACTTGAAACAAACTGATGCCTACAGCTTGTATTTGGTTTAAAATTTACAATTAGGAAACAGTAAATTAAGAAAGAAAAACTGTTGGCTATTAGGCCTGTAGGGGAATAAGTATTTTGTTTGGTTTTGTACCACTGCAAGAATTTTGGACTGCAAGAATTTTGAACTATTATTCTGGAGAAAAGCGTACATGTTTTCACATGTGTCATGATCAGAAAGATGCAGTAAGTCCATCAGAGCTGGGCTTACCGTCCCATCAATGGCAATAATTCACGTCAAGTGCACAACAAGGTTTTCTGAGAAATCACCTACGGAATTAACACGCTTTGCTTGCCTTACACTGGGAGCTCTTGGGCTATTTATTACACGTTTCCATACCTAAAAATCTCGTAAGGACAACACTCCCAAGCACAGCCTTAAGCAGAGCGTCCTTCTCCCTCAGAGCCGGGCTGGAACGGCAGCGCAGACAATGCGGCAGGAGGCCGGGAAGGGACGGGCAGAGCGCCCACGGTCCCCGGGCCGGCCGTGCGGCCCCGCGCAGGGCCCAAGGGAGCGCGGATGGCCCCGGCCGAGGCGGACCGGCTCCCGGGCCCCGGGGGCGCTGCCCGTGCCCTCACGGTGCCCTCACGGTGCCCGTCCTGTCACAGCCGCTNCCCCGCCCGCGGGGCGCGGGGCGGTGCTGGGCGGGCGGGCGGCGCCGAGCGGCCGTTTCCTGTCCTGGTGCATGGTGGTCGGACGGAGGAATTGTTGGAAAATTTCTCGGCGAGGTTCGTATATAAATGTGCTTTTACCCAGTGTGCCTTATGCTCCCTCCGCCATCTACGGAAGGGCCTATTTTTAAATACCTGCTTTTTGTCGCTGTTGTTTTTTCGAAGGCGGTGTTTCCGTGCTGGCGGCCGCAGAGCGGGGCTCCCAGCGCCGGCCGGGCCCGCGCAGGCTCGGGCCGCGCTCCGCGCTGCCTGCCCGGCTGTGGGGCTGCGGCGCGGCCTGGCCCCGGCCGGCCTCCCCAGCCCTGCCGCTCACTGCAGCACCTCGCCGAAATGCAAAAGCGTTTTGACATTTTGTTAAAATTATTCTTTTTTTCTTTTTTTTGTTTTTTTTTCTCTTGTTCCCTTCTTTTTTTTTTTTTTTCCCCTCTAGAACTTCTAATAGAACAGGATAACGAGAAGCTGTTCCTCTAGAATAATGGCCTGCACAGATTTTTATTTTGTTTTCTGCTAAGGCCTTGTTTGTGGTGCTTTTTCATCTAGAAAAAAAAATTATGTGACTCCCGTGCAAATTTAATTTTTGTGTTAAAACACGGCTGCGGTTGAGCAGTTCGATTCAAGTTTTAAATTTTTTAACGTTTCATTTTGAACTGTCAGAGAATTGCTTTTGCCATCATATGCAGTGATACCAGTATTTGTAAGGAATGTTATTTCTAGCCCAGTGACACAGGAACTGCAACCTTCCAGTCCTTCAAATCAAACATTTCTTCTTGTTTTATCGAGAGTCTGCATCAAATGTTGTCTTATCAGCTGTCTTTGCAGACTATTTATCTGATATTTCTGTTGTAGCTTCTAGGTACCTGAAAAATTAAATAAGATTGTGCTTAACTAGCAGTTTTTTAACAAACACGTGGCAGATTGTTAGCTTTGTGCGTTTGCCATACAGCTTTGGACTGGCAGAGTACGGTGTAGCCGTGTTTTCATTGCTTGTTTCTTTGTATTTTGAATTAATGCCCTGAGCTTTCAAGCTGTGTTTGTGTCAAAAGCGATTTGTCTGTATCACTGCAGAAAAGGAACTTCAGGAATATGTGGTCACATAATAGATGCTTGCTTTGGTAATGGATTGCAGCTTAAATGAGATGTAAAAATAAACATTTTGAAAGAGTTTTGAGAAGTGTATTTCAAATTGATTTAATAATTTATTTAAACTGTTCTCGTTGTAATTAATATTTCATTTCTTATACCCTATCTGAGGAAGAGTAATTTTGTTTTACATTAGTGTAATGTAAAGGAACTTAAGGTAGAAAGTCGCAGTGACTTCACTGTCTTCATTCTTGTGTAGCTTTTAAAGCTTCTCTCAGGAGACAGGCACAGATAGTCAAGTGATGAATAGGTGCCAAAATTAGGCTGTAAATTAGTTTTTCCTTTAGAATGTCTCCAGTTGTGTGCTGCTTCGGCTCAGTGGGCGTTTTGCTGTCCAGGAGAAGGGAATTGCCGGGAGTCTGAGCAGTGGCCAGTCCAAGCGCTGGCTGCTGCTGGTGTGACCGCTCCCCTGCAGCTCTGTGGGATGGGCACAGGGATAAAAAGGACAGGGGTTCCTCGGCTTTAGTTTGGTCAGGATGGCTTCATTTACCCTGCGGGATATTGGTCTTCCCTTGCTATTGCACGTGAGTCTCCACCTGAAGAGTTTTGGGTGCGCACATGCTCAGCATGGGTGGAGTCTTTGAGAAGCGCTCTTGCATTGTGAGGAGTCGTTAGCAGGCGCCCGTGAAGCAAATCGTTTTCCAAAGGGCTTGGATTAGGGTGGATGGGTTTCTACACACACAGATAATCAGGGCAATTCTTCCAGTTTCAGGCCTTACAATGGCCAGAATGCAAATATTCATGAGGAGGGTGGGACTCATCTCGATGCTCTTGTAGTTACTCTTTCCTGCCTGCGTTTTGGCTTGTACCTGCCTCCTTGGCCATTCCTGTGATCTGTGCTTCCCATGATAGCTCCTGTAACTCCTGCAGCCTCTGGCACGTATGTGCATAGCGCCCAGGCCAGCCTCGCCTCTCACTGGCTTTTTTCCTGTGTTGCTGCTACATCTCTGCAGCTCACCAGCAGTGCTTTTTGCTCAGCATTAATTGGGGGCAGCTTGGTTTTTTATCTCCTCTGTGCAAGGTGATCAGTGCATCTGGTAAGGACAGCGTGAATTGGGTAGTCTGTTCCTGTGGCTTGTATCACAAAAGATCCCAAAAGATGGGAGGAAAGTTTCTGCTTAGCTTATGGATCCCTAAGATACACTAGATCTGAACTGATGGATCCCCTTCTTGAGCCCAGGAGTTCAGCTCTGAAGCAAATCCCTGTCACTTGAGGTGTGCATAGCTCTTGTTCTGAGCCTGGAGAGAGGGGTCTGGGGAGACACCTCGCTCATGGACACCATTGCTAGGCAGGAGAGGAACAAGCCTGGTGACCCATCTCAGCACAGTGGGGTTTATGGGGTTTTGCCTGTACCAAAGTGTACCTTGA